TGTGTGTGTGTGTGTTTTCTGATGTATTTAAGGGCTGGGCATTGTGATCCAGGACTTATATTCTTAGCATTTGATCTCTGTGAATTGCAGCTAACTTGGGCTTCTCAATGAGATCCCATATCAAGCAAACAAAACAAACAAGCAAAAACACAACAACAACAAACCCAACCTTATAATTAGGAATCTCATCCTCTATTGCATTTCTTTAACCTTATGTTTCTATTTTTTTTCCTCTTTGCCTTTTCGTATCCCCAAATTTACATATTACGTGGATTACCCTAGGCCTAACTTTGATTTCCTTATAATTTCAAACTTAAAAGAAAACAAACCAAGTTATCAGTGGGGTTTACATCTGTGATAAGAACTGAAAAAATTTTTTTAAAGAAATTAAGGTCTAGGAACATGATCTTGCATGCTTTTGCTTGCAAGCATAAGGACTTAATTCAAATCCCTAGCACCCACACTAAATGGAAGGCAGGGCCTATAACCCCAGCACTGAGAGTTGCCTAGACAAGGATCACTGGGGTTTGCTGGCAGACAACCTCTCTCCACATTCTATGAGAGAACCTGTCTCAAAAGAGTAAGGCAGAAAATGATGGAGTAGGGCACTTGATGTCCCCGCTGGACAACATGGAAACAAAGTCAGAAACACTGTCACATATACATAAGCATATGCCACAATCACGCACGAAAATAAACTTGAGAGATTGACATAAATCATGCCCTAGCATCTTTTATGAGCACGGAAGTTAACATCTAGAGGCCCAAACGCTTAGGACCTTTATTAAATAATGTTTTCCTAAATTTCCCTCCAAGTCCATTCCTGAAACCCAGCTATTTTCCGTTATAAACTTTGTTACAGCTGAAATCTGCTCACTCTACAAAAGAAGTAAACAACTGTCACTGCTAGTTGACATGCAGCATTTACTACCTCTTCGACATGGGAGTACCTCATTTGTCATAGTAAAACTTAAGAAAAAACGTCTTCAGGTACACATTCTCTTTTACACTGACTCAACCACAGATCGTGTGTGTTACAGAACCTATTTACTGATGGAGAGAATTTTTTTTAAGACATAAAATATTTAGGTATTATGGTATCTACAAACTATAAGGTTGGATTTTAACATTAGGTTGGATGTTTAAAAATTAAAAGACAATAATTCGGCCAACAAGCCAGTCCAGCAAGTAAAACACCTAAGCCTGACAATAGGAAAATGACCCCCAGGGCCCATGTACAATGGCTGGATTTAGTAGTTTATCTGAAATCCCAGGACTCATATGGTGAGTTTGGAAAGCAGAGACAGGAGGCTCCCCCAGAGGCCTGCAACCAGTTAGTGTACAGCACACAACACATGAAAAGCAAGAGACACTCTGTATCAAAGGGGGATAAGGGGAGAACCAACTCCAGAGAGTTGTCCCCTGACTTCCAAGTTCACACCATGACAGCTGAACCCTAGTGCACACCCGCACACATGCACACACGCATGCACAGACACAGAGAGGCCTACACAATGATAATATATCTTAAAAATGTAAAAAAACTAATCAGCATGAGTTGAAGTAACCAAAACTCATGTGGGGTTGGGGTAGTGAGAGAAAAATAAGAGTAGGAAGGAGGAGGGGGAGATACAGAAGGAAAGAGAGATCCTGTCTCAAACAGTAAACCGCGTTCTACATGATATGGAGAGAAATATTACCTTCCCCCCCCAAAAAAAAAGAGAAAGCGGTGGGTGACTGTCACGTTATTTGAAATTCAGATCTCACCCTAAGTTTGATAAGAAGTTCAATCATTTCTTCCCTAAAAGAAAGTTTGAGGCAAGGGCTTAGGAAGAAGATGCTTGTGACAGAACATGTGACTAGTTTCTGAGAGACTTCACTTTGTTCCGGGGCGGGGGGGTAGCCACTTCTCCTCACCTCATCCCCAAAATACACATCCATAGACAGGAACACAGGTACAGCAACTGCTTAGATAAATTCACCTTCAAAATGAACTGCCAAGAAATGCCCACTTTACCCCCAAAATTTAGCTTCACAGAAGAAAAGTCCCCCTGTTTTTAGAGCATTAAGCTGTTCTCTCTCTCTCTCTCTCTCTCTCTCTCTCCCTCTCTCTCTCTCTCTCTTTCTCAAGGCTAGAAAAGCAAACACTCTCCAACTTAATTTAATACTTAATGCTCAATATGCCATCAACACACCAAAATGGAGTTTTATAGTCTCTTTGAAGATAACTGTAGACTTTGTTAAATTGGCAGCCAGTATTAAAAACAAAAAGGGGAGAAAAAAGAACTGACAATCAATAGGTGCTTTTACAGGTTAAATCTTGTCGAAGGCGCCTTATCCCCTCAGTACACTTTGATTTATTTAAGCTCACCACATTTCTCTTAAATACACTCCATTAACAAGTGATAGACTGTGATCTTGGGCTGGAGGCAAAACACGAAACACAATCTTTCAAGAACTTCATTCATTCCTTTACCAGGTGTCTTGCCCACACCCAGGTTACTAGTCACTTACCTAACTTTACTAAGTTTTTTTTTTCTCCAAATCAATGGAGGTGTTTTACAGCAGCCCAGGGTCATGAGGTCACCCTAGAAGTCCAATGGTTTGGCCCCAAATCCAGACTTAAAATAGCATCCATGCGTGCATAAAAGGTAGCAAAGAAATAAAAAAGTTGTGGGTTAAGGCTGGAGAGATGGCCCAGCAGTTAAGAGCACTGACTGCTCTTCCAGAGGTCCTGAGTTCAATTCCCAGCAACCACATGGTGGCTCACAGCCATCTGTAATGGGAGTCAATGCCCTCTTCTGGTGTGTCTGAAGACAGGTAGAGTGTACTCATACACATAAAATAAGTAAATCTTTTTTTTTTTTAAAGGCTGCAGGTTAAATGGGAGTGTGGAGGGTAAAAGCTACATGGGCCCTTCTGGCTTAGGACTTGGCAAAGCAGACAAGCAACCTTAGGGCTGCAAAACCCAATGGCTTCCATGGAAAGTAGGTGAAGAAGACACTAGGAATCATGTTAGACATAAGATGCTAAACACACCCCATATCTACTCATGTTCGGATCTCAGATATTAAGTATTGATCACATTATTAAACGTGAGTGAATACTCCACCCCCCAACACACACACACACACACATTTCCCAAGTGAAGACAGGGTTTGACGGCTGACAGGACCAGCTTTCAGTGAAACCCTATTAGTGTGACCCTATCTTTAATCTACAGCCATGATAAAATGTCCGGACATACACAAACTCAGCTCCAACAGTGACTAATGGCCACTAATCCCCCTATCTTCAGTAATCTGCCCCTCCACCCATTCATCACGTTGACACCTCCTTTTACACACGTGAACAAACTTTAACAGAGAAGGGGAATCAACCAAAAAAAAAAATCTCAAAGGTAGCCGAGGCTGTAAATTAAACTAAAGGGAGACAGAAGAAAGAGAGGGAGCGAGCGAGATAGATCAGATCTTCAGATCTTCGTGTTTTTGATTTGCATCCATGGCTGAAAGTAGGGAGTAAGGAACTGCTCAATCATCTAGATATGCAAACGGAGAAGAAAGGCTGCCATTCAGAAAGGGGAAGTTGGAAGTAGGGGACAGGGCCCCAAAAGAGTTGGTTTAATCTTCTCATCCAACCACTGTGACACAGATGAGATAGTCAAGGGCTGAAATTTCAATTTCTGTTTTCTTCAAAGTAACAACTTAGTACGTTTCCTATTTAGCTTAGTTCAAATGGGCCTTTTAACTTTCAGCCAAGGAGCGTCTCTCCGGAGCTTACCTTCTCTTAGGCTTTTATTTACTATCATTTAGCTCTTGTAAGTCTTTTTTTTTTCTTTTCCTTTTTTCTTTTTGTAGCCTCTTGGCTTAAGTAAAACCTTTGATCTAAACATAAAGAATCACCACAGACCACAAATGTTCAAACTAGCTTAAAAAATTATTTCATAATTATGCAAATTAAGTGACTAACTTTTAGGCCCTCATGGAACTTGAAGATCTCTCTGTATGTGGCTATAATTCCCCAAGGTACTGCGTGTGTATGTGTGTGTGTGTGTGTGTGTGTGTGTGTGTGTGTGTGTAGGACTGAAACCAGATCCATGATTGAAACCAGAATCTACCGAGAGGGAAGAAACAGAAGTGGAGTTGATGGTTCAGTCATTCACAGTTGAAGATCCTGAAGGGGTACAGGAAAACTGTTTGCAAGCACCCACACGGTGCCTTTTCTTAGACAGAAGGTTTCTTAAGTTGCATCTTTCCAACACTTCATATGCAGCTGCAGAACTATTCATCCTACAAACACTAAGGCAATCTTCTGTTCTGTCTCGCCAATGAGGACTATCAGGCAACTTTCTTGCAACCGCCTGTTTTCTTTCTAAACCCAGCCAGGCAGCGGCTAGTTTATATCCTACCACGAGAAGGAGTTATTTCCTCAAGTTTCTTCAGAATCGAATTTAATTACAGACTTTGGTTACATAAAACAACTTCTAACAACCCCGTTGAGCTCAGAAATGGAGGGGAGGACTGGAGGACCAGATTCTGGATTCCTGGGGAGTGCGGATCACATGCCCCCCACCCCCACCCCGTGCCGCTTGCCCCTTCACTCCAGCACCCCCTAAAGATTCCTCAGATGGGATGATACTCACTCATTTGGACTCATCCTACAGACCAAACTAAGGGACAACCCGCTGCCTCCTACCACCCAAGTGCTTAGACAGGCGTTTGCCCAGAGTGAGCTGGGCGTGCCCTGAACTTGGCGAAAGGCCGAGGTCTACCGAGAGGTTTGGGATGTTTCAAGAGAGTTTGGGGGTGATAGGCCAGAGGGACAACCTCAAACGCGAAACTAGAAACGTTTCCCTGTAGAAGTTCTGGAAGGGTCGAGCCCCTCCGGCCTTAGAAGGAAAAAGTCACCAAGAGTCAATTCAGGGTTCAGGGTCCGATTATGAAGAGTGGAGTGGGGACAAGCAAAGGAGATCAAGGGTGAAGAAGGAGGGCGCAGGTTACCTGAACAGAGACATATTAATCCAAAGAGGTAAAAGTGAGCAGGCTCCGCGATCATTGTCCTCGGGTAGGTCCTGCATACAGTTTCATGCCAAGAGAAGAGAGCAGAAGCGGGGATCTCCAAATTTATGGAAGCCACACACCATACACCCTACACACAAAGAGGCTTAATATAAGCAACGTGAGTCAATCCGCCAAGAGTTTGCAGGGCACTTTCTCGTCGAACCTTTCCGGAGGCTTGTCAATCCTTCAGTGCCCTCTGCAAAGAAAAATTCCAAGATTTGTCTTCCCTGGCCCCGGGTTTCCGAAGAGGCTCAACCACTTCCAAGGCTCATCCAAGGCGAACAACAAAGAGCCGAAACCGAGGTTTCCTGCCTCCACAGTCCTGCTGAGCCACCCGGCGTGCGCCTCCACAGCGTGTGCCCTGGCGCCGCTGCGCGGCGATTGCAAAGTTGGGGTGTGAGAGCAAATGAAGAGATGCACCCCAAAAAGTGCTCCTCCGTATACCGGAGAGCCAGTGAGTAGCAGGCCACCCCCTCTGGCGGTCAAGGTAGCGGCAGCAGCTGGGGAACACAGTCTCGAGGTTCACGGGGTGCGCCTGGGTGACTCTGCGCACCAGGAGGGAGTGAAGGGGCGGTACGGCGACAGAGGCTGCCTGGGCGGGCCCTTGTTCCCATCACTCGCGGGATGCGGAGAGGACCGGGGACTGCAACAGGACCGCGGACGCACGAGCGCCTTCCGGGCGCTCACAGCCCGGCGCAGCACCCAGCATCGTCCCAGGTCCTGCTTCCACTGGGGCGCGCGTAACGCACCTCCGAACCAAGCTGCAGCCCAAACTTCCCGGGGTGGCTAGTCTTACTCCTTGCTCCTGGAAGCTTCGGAGAGGTTGATGGAAAAGAACGAGCAGGAGAAAGAGGATGCTGCCGAGGCTCGCCCGAGCTCCGCCGGGAGCTTGCAGCGTCTGAAGTTTCTGCTCTCACGCTGCCTCCTTTCGGCTCGACAGCTCGTGGGTTTCCCCCTCTCTCCTTGCTGCTCCGGGTTTCCTCCCTCTCCAGCCCGGCTCTGGAACCTTTAAAGGGGACGCACGATCCCTGCCAGGCCCTCACTGGCGCTGCTCAGACAAGTTCTGCGTGTTAATATTTCCATGCACATGCCCAGAGTGCCCAATTGCGCCCTCAGGTGAGATTTCAACTACTCAGAAGCAGAAATCTCAACGAATGAGAACTTGTCTTGGGGCTCTTTCCATACCAGTCTCCCCTGCACCTTTCTCCAAATGGAACCTCCCAAACCAAAGACTTCAAAATCCTCCAGGTCCCTCTTAACCTCTTCTTTACCGATATAGGGAACTGCAGTAAACTACCAAAGTTCACTCACCAACACCACCCCTATTCTCCTTAAACAGACACGTAAATAACTAAACAAACAAACAAACTGATTTGCTCTTTCAACAACGAGGCTTTAGGAAAGTGTGAATTATCTAAAATATAGTAGTTGATGGATATTCTCTTTTTCTCTTTTTATTGAATTTGCTGAGGGTCCTATAGAAAGACTACATGTCAGGAGTAAAGGCTTAGGTCTTGGGGACTTCATTACGTTTACAGGAGAGTCTAGGTAGCATATATATATATGAGACTTAACAGTTAAAGAAGCTACATTTATCTAAAGTTTGCAATGATGGACTGTTAGCATTTCAAAATCCTGGGCCACCCCAAATCCCGAGGTATCAGGTACCTGTGACCATACCAACTTTATTCTCTCTTCTGAAAAAAAGGGGGGGGGGCTAATGTGCTACTTCATGAGTAAGCTACTTAAGCCCAAGATAAAACATGCCTGGGATATTTGACAGACAAGTTTTCACAAATTCGTTGGTTTTGGTTGGTTTTGTTGTTGTTGTTGTTGTTGTTGTTACCTATGACACAATGAAAAGCACATAATATAGGCTGAACACTTTATAAATTGTAGTTGTTGCCACTTACAGCTATTCATTTTATTAATAATTTACTCTCTTCAAAGTTATGGTCTATGACTTCAAAATGAGTACTTAATACCCTCACCTATGGCAGGTAGCATCGTGGCAAGTGAGGGGGATTTGGATCTACCTTGTGTGTACTCTTGTACTTTTCTAGTTTTCCTTTAGTTGAGTGCATACATTACCTAACTAAAATATAAGTTTAAAAGAAAGCCATGTGCTCATTTTGGTCACGGCTGCTGTGGCCCGTGAACCCAGAGCAACTGCCTGTGAAAAGAAACCTGGTTAACACTGCCTTACATTTAAAAGTGAAAGACAATTTCATCCTGCAAAAGGTGACTGAAAATACAGTAAACAAGCTGAGATAAGAATTCAAAGACTCGCCAGAATCTTTTTCAGCAGTAAAATAAACTAGAATGTGCAGTAAATGCTAAGAGACATACATTGATTTGGTATCTCTGAAGAGATATTTGGTGAGAAACATAGAAAATAAAATTTCCTTGGAATAAAATGAACTCTTAAGATAAGATACCCTCAGAATAGAAAATAAATAAGCTTAGCATGATGAAGAAGAGGAGGAGAAAGTGAAAATCTCCAAACCCCAGGTAACTTAAGGGGATTTTAAATGAAGATATTGAACTTCCATCTAGTGAAGGATATATCCTCTTATTTTCGTGTGTGTGTGTGTGTGTGTGTGTGTGTGTGTGTGTGTGTGTGCCCGCCTGTGCAGGGAGGTAGGGCCTCCTGCATGTTAAATGCAGGTTCTGCCACCAGTCTAAGAAAGTAGACCCTGTGCAAAAAATCCTACTACATTGTTTCTCTAGTGTATCTCTCAGTTTTCACAATTTTCCTGAGATTTTTCAGGAGTTATTTCACCATCTGGCTCCGTGGTAAAGAGTGCCTACTGCTTTTGCAAGACACTGATTCTGTTCCTAGCCGGTGATGGACAGACAACTGTCTGCAATTCCAGTTCTAGTCCATCTGTTGCCCTCTACTGCTCTCCACAGGTTCCTGTATACATGTTCTGTGCACACATACACACATATATTCAAACACACACATGCATATGCACAAAATACTAATCCACATTTAAAAGGATATATTTCAACACTCACCACATTCCCACTGGATTGAAAGTGTATCAATACTGACTTCTATTTCTCAACTCCAGTATACTACACCATTACAGTCCTTTGTTCCAGCCTCAATGATAAAGTTATCTAGGGAGACAATATGTACCCACCAGGAAAGAACTATTAGAGAATCTCATCCAAAGTGTTGTCTAAAAGTGTTCTGTCAAGTATATCAGTAAAATTGACATCTAAATTAAGAGTTTGTATGCAGATGGTATTAGGGACCCATAAGAGGTGCAAGTTAAGTTGGAGTGCTGGAAAATGTTTCTAATTCCTTTCTTCCACCTCCCCACTCATCCCACTCAGTTGTATTCAAACAACACCGGAGTGAACATCTACATGCAAATTAAGGATGCTGATGAGGCAAGATGCAAATATAAGCCAATTCTCAGGCCCCTAAAAAGCTCTAACTCTTCTTACAGCAAGAGTAAAGCTGGCTCTAGAGAAGACTCTGCCCAAAAGTGTAAACAACAAAGGGCCATTGGGTGAATTGATAGCTCTGAATATTTCTGGGGATGGATTTATCATAGCAACTTGCCACCATTCTGACTTTGTTACTGAACATTAAAGTCCCTGAACGAACGCACAAAATCCTCTCCATGTGTTCTATGAAGAATAGTGAACATAGATGGATCATCTTCATGTGCATAGGAAACATACTCAAAACAGGTCCCCTGCAGCCTGGCCATGGATAATTAGAGCTCAGATTGACTCCAGATCGGCCAGAAGACAAAAATCAAGGTAAGAGTGTGTCTTCATTTACATTAAAAAAATTCAATTCTGATCACTTTAGTGAGAACGTTGGTGGGGATTGCCATAATGAAATCCATTACATTGTATGCTAGATTTAAAATTGGAAGGGATACAAAAAGACAGAGAGGAAAGGGGAGGAGAGGAAGGGAGGAATAAGAGTAGTGGGTAGTGAAGTTCCATTTGCTGAGTTTTGATCTCCTCTGAGGAGTCTGAAACTCAGGATCTCTCAGAGCCTCTTTGAGACTTTTGAAGAAACTTGAAAATAATGCATTCCAATAACAGTCTTATTGTTGGGGACTTTTGACAGGCAAGATGCCAAAGCTACAGGGATTTCTCACTTCCTCTGATTTGATTTTTATCTTTCCTGAAGTTGGAGAGGAGGGAGCAGTTGCAGGAATTCAGGAAATAACAAAACTCCCAGAGTCTCTCTGGGGATACCAGAATATTCGATCAGGAGAACAGAGTCCTGAGGAAACTATAAACCAGAACATCTGCCTTTCTTTCTTCCTAGCAAGACACCTGAGCATCAAACAGAGCCCGGGATGTACGTCACAACTTCCAGAAGATCTGGTGAGCCAATCTGGCAAGATCTCTGCAGTAAGACCCTGCTGACTACTCCAAGATACCATCCCTCAGGAAAGAACAGCTTATTTAGCAATTTTTACACAAAATTGCTGTGTAATCTATACACTGTTTGATATCTAAAATACTAATCCAAAATGCATGTTTGACTATTCCTCCCAGTTTGGAGACATAGTCTTATAGTAGAACCATAAGTATTATTAATAAAATGGTAAACAAATTCATATTTATTTGTATGTTGAAATATTAGGTCTATTTATTGTCCTATATATTTACATAGGGCATATTTCAACTGTAATGTTTTGATGTGTCTCTCTCATTTAGAACAGGTACATCCTCCAAACCAGATAGGCCCTAGAAGAGAAGACTCTTGTCCTTATTTTTTTCTACTTGTCTTAAAGGTTCCAGAACTGGTAATAAGAGCAAATGCAATGCTTTCAATGGAACTTTTCAAAGGTAGAAGAGAACTCCACTGATTCCACTAATATGTCTTCCTCTCCCACAAGCTGTCCAAGGCCTGTTGAATAGAGAGACACGATAAGATACTATCCCGTGAAACTATTGTAATTGCGGTTGTCTCTGAGCATCTCTGCATGTTGTTGGGACAGCACAGATACGCTAATATTGGACGCCATGTGGTAGAGCCTGAGACTTTACATTACAACCTCAATGAATCTCATTAAAACTTACACCTTTAGTTTTCACAGATGGTTAGTTTTTGAAGAACATAAATAAAAGGACACAGGAAAATGGCATTAATCAACGGAACGGTTTGTGGCACTTTACAAACATTATCTGATCTAATTCTCACCCTGTGAGGTGTTATTACTCTCCCAATGTAAAGATGAGGTTAGGGGAGTGAAAGATTAACTCGAAGTTCAATGGCCTGGACGCCTTGGAGCTTATATTTGAACCCAGCTTGTTTTGAACCAGAGCACATGGGAAAAAGGAGACCCATGGTAGAATAATCTTGGCAGACTGGATTGAACACATTCTGAGATTTCTCAGTGCCTTTAACATGCAAATAAGCATTGTGAGAAAACTCAGGTCTTGGGTAAACATCACTGTGTTGATAGAG